TACTTCTCCTAAGATTTCTAGACCTTCCGGATTCAATGAAAATTTTATTTTGACCTAAAAATTTTTTGAACTTACCTAACAACCTCTTCCAAGTTTAAATACTTTCGCAACTTAAACTTCACAATCAATTTGCCTCCCAATAGTTATTTCTACCGTTATAATCTATGTGGTTCATTCTTATGTCATTACATGTATTAGAATTACTAAATAATTATATCATTATATTAATATAAACATGTGGGGGTTTACACCAACAGAGGTTACAAAAGTTACAGTTTAGACTCAGAGTTACACAAAAAAAAATGTATATCCTAAGGTCCAAAAGGTGGAGTAGACTCAATAGATGAAGCCTCAACAATAGGAATAGGAAGAGAGCTTGGAAGCTCGGCATCCAATGCTCCTGAAAGCTTAGTAGGTGAAGTGTCTGACAGACTAACAGCCGGGGTTGCTGGAAGAGAAGGGGTTGGAAGCTCGGTGATCGAAGGCCCAATAATTCCTGAAGCAGGGAGTGAGTTCAGGGCCAGAGCAATAGAAACAAGATCAGCTGAGAAGGGAGCAACCCTTGAGGCTACGGTAGAAGTCGCAAGGAGCTCGAAAGCCATTGGAACAGGGGAAATAACAAGGGTAGAAGCTATGGGCGCCTCAGCACCTTCAGAAGGTAAGGGGAACTAGTTGCTGGCCACAACGCTGTTTTCCTCAACCTCCTCTTCATTAGGGATGTCAAAATCAAAATCTTGACCAGGGTATGTCTTTTCAGCCATGTCTTGGAAAGCAAGCCATCCAGTGACCCACTTAGTACTGACATCATCCCTCAATTTGGCTACGTCATCCTTCAACTCGACTATTAGATCATCTTTTTGATTAATGATAGTTTTCTTCTCCTCAAGCTCCTTGTGTATGATGTCGTTCACCTCGGACAAATTGTCATACTCTCTTGTCATGTTCTTAAAAGAGCGAAGGGCTTCATAGGTCTCCTCACAAGCTTTAACCCCAAGCATTATTCTTAAGCTCAAGCTCATCTCTGATCTTCCTCTCCTCCCTTTCCTTCTCAATTTCTAGACCCTGGATAATAGTAACTTCCTTCTCCACCTGCTCCTGAAGTTCCTGATTCTGAATACGAAGATCTTCATTGGCAAAAGACAATTCAGTGACTTTAAGCTCGTAAGCCTTCGTGACCTTAGCTGAGTCCTCCAGAGATTGGATTCTGCCCATCAAGCCTTTCACATGGAGAGCTAGCTAAGAGCAGGCAGCAAGAAATTAGAGGTCAACATCATTTATGAATGCATATACAAAAAAAGAAAGGGAGAGAAGTGGGAGAGTTGGCATTTACAACAGTTCTTGTATGAAGAGTTGAGCTGATAGAAGTCTCAAGGGGCATGATGGAGGCTCTTTTAACATCAGACTCAGGAATAATAGAGCTAATGGCCCCAACAACAAGCTCAATATTGTCAAAGAAAGAGCCCTAGTCACTTTCCATTTTAGGGCTTTTCCCCTTCTTAATTCTGGAGCTCTCATGGCTTGACAAGGGAATCCTATCGGGCGATGCCAGAGAACTGGGAGTGGGAAGAACTCGAGTAATCGTCCCCAAGGCCCTATNCGATGCCAGAGAACTGGGAGTGGGCAGAACTCGAGTAATCGTCCCCAAGGCCCTATCAACCTCAAAAGAAGTAGGGGGAGGTCTACCCTTGCTCAAGGGCCTCACTAGGGGTGAACGGAGATCTCCTAAGGGAAGAACCCTCTGTAGATTGTGGAGTGGATGAAGGCTGGATGATCAAGGGTGGAGTTGGAATGGTAGAGCTGGGGGTCACACTCTTTTTTGGCACTTTGGCTGGAGGAGTAGTTTCGCTACCAGAACCAACCTCAGCCTTGTGTTTACCACCGCTCCTGGCCTTCTTTAATTGAGAAAGCTTAGCTTGGAGCTCTGCTGTGGAAGGCTTCATCATGGAAGGACCTAAAAACCAAGGACAGGTAAAAATATAAATAAACAAGGTACAAGAAGAAAGGGGAAGATCAGAGTTGGATAGGTCAGGGTATTACCAGCGGCCTCCTCTGCACTGACAACAGAAAGGGGAATCGGGGCTTCAATCGTAGTCTTTGGGAGACTGAATCCTTGCGCTACGAGAATCCAATGTTTGATGAGCTCAGAGTACCTCTCTGATTCACAACCTTTTAGGGACAACAAGACCTGCTCGTCATCAGCACTGAGTTCAGGGCGAACACCTAAAAAAAAAAAAAAGAATATAAGAAACAAAAAGAGATCAGCAAAGAAATGCTACTGAAGCCGACCCTAGCTCACATATATTTGCACTTACCCAAGTTTTCAGGGGCTTTCTAAGCTCGAGGGACTAGAAGAGAATCTGATCATAGGGTTGTATTCCCATTGATCACCCCCACGAAGAAGAAATTTTTCTCAACCCTTTTTGAGAGCTTGGGAGGTCGGTGATGATTACTTTAGCTTTAACCCGTTTAGAGATATACAAGAAACCATAGGAAGAGGTATACGTAACATTAAAACACTCCATAAGCAGGGAGACAGTGGGAACCCCAAGTTTATGCTTCTTAAAGAAAACAAGAAGACCCACTAGAATACTCCAGAAGTTAGGGGAGAAACTGAGCAGGGAAGACGTTAAAATGCTGCAAAACGCTCTTGATAAATGTGTGCATAGGAAAGCAAAGACCATTCTCAAAGACGGCCTTGAAAAAATAAACTTTTTTGTGGACTTGGGCAATGAATGAGGTAAATTTATCTGGACACCAGTATTGGACACCAGAAGGAAAGCTAAAACGAGCGCTAAGAACTTTCATAAGAGGAGGAGAGACCTCACTGAAGCTCACATGTTCTGCAGTTCTGAAAGTAGCACCTGCACCCTCAGCGTTGTCGGAGATACCAACTCTGCTCACTTTGGCCTTACCCTTGTTAGGATTTTTGGGAATGGGGGGTGGTAGATGAGGGAATGTCCTCAGCATTTCCCTCGGTATCAGCAGAATCAACACCGAGAAATTTATCAATCTCCTCACCCACATCACTTAAATCAGAATCTTCCTCAGCAGACCTGGTCCCCAGAAGGGAAACAGAACAGGGGGTAGCTCTAGAAGAAGCAGACATAGTTAGGGAAGAAAAAGGGAGTCTGAAAGTACGATAATGAGAAGGAATATTTACAGAACACTCTCTAAGAGTCAGGGGGTAACACAACAACTACCAATAAGAAAAACCCTAGCAGTTGAATAAGGGTCTAAAAAGAGAGGAATACCAGACATAGATCAACCTTGGTTCCAAAAGTAGCAGAATCAAAAAGTCCAAAAATATAGAAACCACCTCAGGCTTGAGGGATCCAGAACAAGGAGATGAACATAGAGTAAGAAGCGTACCTAAGTGAGGATCGACAGAAGACCAAGGCTTGAAATAAAAGCGAGGAGTGAACTTCGTTTAAAACCAGAGATTGAATCAGGGAAAATCGATTTCTCAACAAAACCCTAGGGACACCAGCAAAATCAAAAAATCTAAAATTGTAGGAAGAAGAGAGGGAAAAGCCTGGAGAGGGAGTTTAAAAGGAAAAATGAGTCATTTCCCTCAACTCAGGGGCATTTAAAGCTATCGTTAGAAAGTGGGGAACATGCACAAGAAACAATAAAAAAAATGATTACTGGTAATTGTCACAAACCTGTTTGCGCACAAACTGAGGTCAGCACGTGGAGGTCTACCCCCTAGTTAAGTGTTAGTTCATCCCTTACCCAAGTCAGCTTGGTCAAGAGATGAGAGGCAACTGATGGTACATAGAGTAACTTCCAAAATGTGAGATGAGGCACGAAGGTCGAATAAGGAGGTCAGACAAGACATGCAGAGCTCAAAGGACCAAAGCTAGAGCTATTCCCAAACAAGACAGTAACGGAGATGACGAGAGAACAACTGGGCGTTAAGAGGACCCCTAAAGATGGCAAAGAATCATATTCAGGGCGCAATACCCTCAACCACCCAAGATCTCTTTCTAAAATCAAGGAAAGTCCCGCAATTGAAGAACAAAGATCTCACTTCAGATCCCTTAGAGATACTAATTGTGCTATAAATACTGTACAGTGCCTCATTGATGGGGAGAGAGAAAAAAAAANATCCCGCAGTTAAAGAACAAAGATCTCACTTCAGATCCCTTAAAGATACTAATTGTGCTATAAATACTGTACAGTGCCTCATTGATGGGGAGAGAGAAAAAAAAAACCTTAGTGGTGTAAGAGGCACACTGTAAACTCCATTCCTCATTATTAAAACAAAAAGAGCAAGAGCCTCTATTAAAAAGTGGATTAATCGAACTTTCAAGCTGATGAACCACTATATATACACGGTGAGAATTATCCCAATCTCCAAAATTTCTTTATCACAATCTCCTCAAGCCCTGAAGCACTGACCCAAGTTGCCAACCATAAATTCATCCCTTTTACTCATTCAAGTTAATTTACACCATCAAATGCAATTAATCGATATAAGTTGATAATTTTTATCGATAATTTGAATTTGAATTCAAATTTGTTGTCGTATTTTTTAAATTTTGATATATCTATATCTAATCCAAAAAAATATATGTTTTTATATAAATATTAAAAAATTGAGTAATAATTTGAAAACATTTNCAAATTTGTTGTCGTATTTTTAAAATTTTGATATATCTATATCTAATCCAAAAAAATATATGTTTTTATATAAATATTAAAAAATTGAGTAATAATTTGAAAACATTTGGTTAAAATTCAAATGTAACTTATTAAATTTAAGTTAAATAAAATTATTCAAATCAGATTGAATTTTAAATTATTAATAAATTTAAATATGAATCATAAAAATAAAATTTATCGGATAAGTCATCCTGGTATGCACACGTCTATGATATAACGCCGCCACCACCACCACCACCACACCGTACACGTTACGAAACCACACCGTACACGTTTCGAAGAGTAATTGTTCATTATCATCCATTCGTTTCCGGAGAGACCGAGAGGGAGGGGATATGGAGAAAGATACCTGCTTCATCATCGTCGTCTTACTCTGCATCTCTGCACTCTTCAAGCCCCTTTTCAATCTTATTTTCGTCTCTTCTTCCTCTTCTATTAACTACTTCAAGGAGCGGAAGAAGAAGAAGCTCCCTCCAGGACCCCCTAGCATTCCGGTGATAGGAAACCTCCTATGGCTGCTGAAGTCATTCTCCGAGATCGAACCAATACTCCGGGACCTCAGGGTCAAGTACGGCCCTCTCATCACCCTGGAGATTGGGTCTCGGCCGGCCATATTCGTGGCTAGCCACTCAATCGCTCATCAAGCCCTCATCCAGAATGGCGCCGTTTTCTCTGACCGCCCAAGGGCCCTGGCCACCAGCAAAATCATGAGCAGCAACCAGCACAACATCAGCTCAGCCGCCTACGGCTCCACCTGGCGCCTCCTCCGTCGCAACCTCACCTTTGAGATCCTCCACCCCTCCCGGGTCAAGTCCTACTCTCCCGCCCGTCGTTGGGTCCTTGGAATCCTAATTAATGGCCTCCTCAAATCTGCCCAATCGGAATCGGTGGTGAGGGTGGTTGACCATTTCCAGTACGCCATGTTCTGCCTGTTGGTCCTCATGTGCTTCGGTGACAAGCTCGATGAAAATCAAATCAAACGTGTTGAGACCGTACAACGCCGTTTGCTTTTGAGTTTCAACCGATTTAACATTCTCAACTTCTGGCCGAAACTGGGAAAGATTTTGTTTCGCAAACGATGGAAAGAGCTCTTGCAGCTGCGCCAGAACCAGGAGGACATATTGATCCCTCTTATCAAATCTCGAATAAGAGCAAAACAAGAGCAACATAGCGAAGAGAATGAGGGAAGTAAGGCTGATGGTGATGAGCAAGTGGAGGGCATGGTGGCGTACGTGGACACTCTGGTAAATCTGCAGCTGCCGGAAGAGAAGAGGAAGCTCAACGACGGGGAGATGGTGAGCCTGTGCAGTGAGTTTCTAAGTGCCGGCACTGACACCACGTCAACTGCTTTGCAGTGGATCATGGCCAATTTGGTGAAATACCCTCACGTTCAGGCCAAGCTCTACGGAGAGATCTCCAGCGTTGTGGGATCACCGCCAGCCCCACCATCCTCCAAAAAAGGGGAGGGAAAGGGAGAAGAGACGATGAGAACCGTGGAGGAGGAGGATCTGCAGAGGATGCCATACCTGAAAGCGGTGGTGTTGGAAGGTCTGAGGCGTCACCCACCGGGGNAAAGTCCTTCAGAAGAGATCTGAGAACATATAGCTGGCGAAAGAAGCCGACAAGAAGATGCCTGCACCCCAACAGGACATTAAGGTTTCAACTATTATCCCCGAAAATTCTAACATAGCTGTGATGAATCTTGGTATAATTATTACGTATAACAAGTATGAGTGCCTTATTGGGGATGGTGGTAATCTGGTGGTGGATATCAATCTTGCACCTTCCAAGGTCCCACCTACCTGTGGAAAATTCAATAGGTACTGATAATGCTTTGGTCATGAACAAAAATCCCCAAAGGAAAAAGAAAAAAGTGAAGAAGAGAGCTCAGGAGCAAGGGAAAGTTAGGAAAGCTGAGGGCCTAAGACTCAGCAAGCTATTCTTTCTTGATGGTTAGTATTGCCCACTGGAGTATAAGAATTCTAAATGATACCTCTAAGCAAGAGGAAATAAAGAAACTAATTAGGGGACAGAACCTAGACCTAATAAGTGTAGTGGAAGAAAAAGTGAGGAAGGTAAATAGTAGCAGAATTATGCAGTATATTTTCAAAAATTGGGATTTTTGTGATAACCACCAGAGTCATTCTTATGGGAGAATTTTGATAGGATGGAATCCTGATTCCCTACTTGTTTCTAAACTGGCCGAGTCTGACCAGGTTGGTCACTACCACGTGTAACACTTGACCAGCCGGATAAGGTTTTTTGCTTCTATTGTCTATGCTCAAAATGATGGGATAGAAAGAAGAAGGCTATGGAATGACTTATCTATGCAAACTGTTCTTCATGATAACGACCCTTGGATAATCATGGGGAATTTCAATTTTATTAGAAATCTTAACGAGTCCATAGGTTGTTCTGGTCATTGGAGTCAAGATATGATGGAGTTTAAGGAGTTTATCCAAAGTGCCAAACTTATGGATCTTAGATTCTGTGGCTTATTCTATAAATGGTGCAACAATCGACTATGGCATTTCTAGGAAGCTAGATAGAACATTAGTTAATGAAAGATGGGTTAAACTATACAACAAGCTGAAGTAGAATTTTTACACTCTGGAATTTCTGACCATTCCCTTAATGTGGTAAAGATTGGAGATCCTGTGAGAATTTGGAACTCCCTTTTTAAGCTCCAACCACCATGCTGAAAAGGGGGGATTTTTTGGAGTTGGTCACCAATGTGTGGAATGAAGAGATCTCAGGGTCCTATCAGTTTAAAATTTGCAACAAACTAAATAGATTAAAGAATGTGTTCAAAGCCATAAGCAGAGAAAAAGGGCCTATATTTGACTTGGTTAATAGGACAAAAGTTGAGCTAGATGCCTACCAAAAAAGAATTGACACCAGGCCTAGTGATCACAGTCTAAGAGAGGAATGGAAACTGTTATTAGCAGAGTACTTAGCTGCCTCTAAAGTTGAGGAAATGTTTTACAAACAGAAATCCAGGGTGCTATGGCTCAAAGAGGGGGACCAAAACACTAGCTACTTCAAATCTATGCTAAGCAGAAGGAACATGAAGAAAATTCTCTGAATTAGGAGACTGGATGGCTCGGTTGAAAAGGGAATACAAGATGTTAAGAGTGATGTAGTGGAGTATTTTAAGGTCCTCTTGGGCCATCCCAACATTCTCCCTACCAATTCCAATTTTGATAGAAGGTTATTCCTGAACCCCATTATTCAAAGAAGAGTTTCTAATGTGCATGCTTTGGGCATGAATGAAAGGATTACTGACGAGGAAATCAAAGTTGCTTACTTCTCAATTAATAGTGTAACACTCCAAAACCTACCTTGGATGACATTATTATCTAAAATTATTCACCTCATGAGAACAACTAATATGATCTATAAGTAAAGAAGATTTAATTCATCCTTCATAATATTTACAACATCATCCAAAAGAATATGCTCAACTATGACAATTACATCCCAAAAATTAACTATTAACTTGCAGCGGAATAACAAAAANCCCAAAACCTACCTTGGATGACATTATTATCTAAAATTATTCACCTCTTGAGAACAACTAATATGATCTATACGTAAAGAAGATTTAATTCATCCTTCATAATATTTACAACATCATCCAAAAGAATATGCTCAACTATGACAATTACATCCTAAAAATTAACTATTAACTTGCAGCGGAATAACAAAAATATTAGACTTCACATTGTCTCAAAATGAATCTCTTAGTCTAGAACATAAAAAAGAACAATTTTAACATCCCCCTCGGGATCCACGCTTCCATCCAATTGCGCTTTCCCAAACAACCTGCTCATCAATTCCGAGCTCTTCATCTGAACCGATATCTGAGAATAAATAGTATTTGTAGGGGGTGAACACTAAGCTCTGTAGCAACATCCTCCCAAACTTGAACAAGGTTTAGAAACATATAAAACAGTTCGGTCTCACTTTCTAAAATATCATATATAATTTGAAATAAAATAGTGACAATCTATTTGATCTCAATTTAACGCAATAACAATAAGTTAAATGAAAGAAATAAACATGTGAAGGAATCAATTAATCATTCAATAGTATCATCTCATATTCTTATGTATGTTGGTTGTTTCCCATGAATCTACACAATGATTATACCTCATTCACCCATCATAACCACACAAAACCAATTTAGGAAGGGCGTATACCGTCTCTCATGGCATTGACGAATCCTTCCAAGGAAAAGTATATCATCCCTCAGCCTCGAACTTACATGAATAATAGTGGTTGCTTTCACAAACAACAATCCACTACAAGTGTTAGGAAATCATACCACCCCCACTGGGATAGACTAACCTCTAACACTCTACGGTAGTTCTTGAATGTAATTCAAGTCCATCACCACAAACCATACACAAGATACAATACAAACCATTTTCTCAAATCACAAGTAAATTCAAAACCCTTAATTTCATAAGTATTTTTCCAACATAAAAATTCAATAAAATAAGCAAGAGATCATCAAAAGATAGACTTTTATTGTTCCAAGCAAAGCACTAAAGTTCTTGAATCAATAACAAGATGATATCAAGAAGAAAAATCCATTTTTCCCAAAGTTAGGTTTTTACATCAAGAACATGCATTTCTAGGGTTATCAAACTAATAATTCTTTCAAAACATGATAAAGTTTGCAAGAACATCAAGAATTAAGGATTCCATAACAAATATATATGATTAAGAGTCAAAACATATGTACATATAAGCCCTAACCTCAATGAACAAGAGTGGAAAAAAACCCCAACCTTTCTTCTTCCTTGACTTTGTGTGAAGAACTTGAAGATTTAATCTTTTCCAAACTTGAATCAACCCTTTAATCTTTTGTTTTTCCTTTATTTATTCCTCTCTAAGACTTTATAGGGTTAGAAATGTTGAAATTAAGGAGATGTCCTTATGTATTTATAGGAGGCCAAATGGTCCCTTGTGCGTGAATCTGAAAGTTAGAATTCGTAGCTCACGTTCGATTGTCATTGGCTTTTGAATGTCCTTTGCTCCTAGTACTTCTATTTTTTCATCAGAAAAAAAGTATTAGAACACACTGTCATTCGAACGGACTTTCACGTTCGAACGTAGGTCGTTCAAACGTCATTTTACGTTCGAACAGACTTCTTGTTTCTTCTGAAACTTCCAATGAAGTTTTGGCCTATTTAGAAGTCGATTTGAAAAATGTTCATGAAATATACTTTTGTAGCCCTAGAAGTCTATTGTCNCTGTTTCTTCTGAAACTTCCAGTGAAGTTTTGGCCTATTTAGAAGTCGATTTGAAAAATATTCATGAAATATACTTTTGTAGCCCTAGAAGTCTATTGTCTACTGTCAAAATTTTAGNTTGTTTCTTCTGAAACTTCCAATGAAGTTTTGGCCTATTTAGAAGTCGATTTGAAAAATGTTCATGAAATATACTTTTGTAGCCCTAGAAGTCTATTGTCTACTGTCAAAATTTTAGATCAAATGAACATCAGAATAAAACGTTATGATCCAAATAATAGGCAGTGTCCAAAATCCTTTTTACCCAAATTTTGTCTAAAATGTGTTTTCACTCCGGAATACTTCCAAACTTCTACAACACACCCTATTACCTCAACTAACATTTTATCTCTACTCTTACAATCAACCTAGTTCATGCATACATCATTACATATATAAGCATTTCAAAACATAATTACGTTGCTATATAAAGAATAGAATGTGGGGGTTTACAAATAGTCATCAAGCTCCAAGTCCAGATGGATTTAATCTGTATTTCTTTAAGAAGGCTTGACCTATCATAGGTAATGAAGTCATATCTGCTATTAAAGAATTCTTCTCCTCAGGTAGATTCCACCATTATTGCATTAGCTCCTAAGTGCCTTAATTTGTCTTCCATGAATGATTTTAGGCTCTTGTGATAACACAATGTATAAGGCTATATCCAAGGTTTCTGCATCTAGACTCAAATATGTCCTACCTGAACTCATAAACAAGAATTAGGTTGCTTTTATTTCAAGTAGAATAATAAGTGATAACATCTTTTTTTTCTCAATAATTATTGAGAGACTATCATAGAAACATTGGATCTCCAAAATGTGCGGTCAAAGTGGACTTGAAAAAGGCCTTGGACTATGTAAATTGGCAGTGTTCAATGGATCTTATGGAAGCATTCAATTTCCCTCCTACCCTTAGAAGATGGGTTTGGCAATGTATCTTTACCCCAATTTTTTCTGTTAATATTAACGGTGAGCATGTGGGTTTCTTCCAAAGCTCTAAAGGACTCATGCAGGGGAATCCCCTATCTCCATACTTGTTTGTCCTTGCAATGGAAGTTCTTAACCTTCTGATATAGAAAAAATTGAGTGTAGAGAATTTAAATATCATTGGAGATGCAAGAAGGTTAAATTCACATAGCTTTCCTTTGCTGATGATCAACTGTTATTTTGCCATGGTGACTTGACTTCTGTTAATGTCCTTAAGCAAGCTCTTGATCAATTCCACGTTATTTCTAGCCTGCATGTCAATCATTTGACGATTAATATTTTCATGTGTGGCATCCAAACTGATATGAAGGAGCAACCTATAAATTTGATAGGATTTCTAAAGGGCAACTGCTAGTTACTTAATTGGGCATTCCATTGATATCTTCTAGAGTAAGGTCTATCCACTATAATGAATTTCTTGTTAGAATTGGAAAAGGTTGGGATCATGGTTTGATATAGCTATGTCCTATGTTGGTAGACTCCAACTGATCTAATCTGTTATCAGCAGTATACAGACCTAATGGACATCACACTTATATTTACC